ACGTCGGATTTCGTCGGATTTTCGTCGGATGTACGTCGGACTGACGCCGGGGCATCGCCGCGCAAGCGTCGACCCATGGACGATTGGATGCGGTAGTACAACGATTCCGCGCCGCGCGAGGCCTCGAGGACTTCCCTCGCAGAGAAGGGAGGAGGAGGGGCCGCACGGCGCGGCGACCTGGGCTGCACTCACGCGTGGCGTACCCAAACAACGCTGCATGGGGGCTCAAATGGGCTCTCGAAATGTTTGACAGGTGAGGTGCCCCGCATCCGGCCGTCCCCACGCCGGACCTGACAGCAAAGCGCGTTCACGCACGAGCCGGCTCCTGCACTGCAGCACAGGTGTCGAAGACGCGCAAAGATGGATTGGCGATCCATGGATTTGGCGCGCGGTCACCGAATCCATGGATCGGGGGAGGCGCCCTCCCCAAAATGCTGCCGGTGCCGCCTCGCTCGGCGGCGGGAATCCGCGATTTCCTATGGAAACGGGACCCGTCGCTAACCCACGCCCCCATGATCCATGTTTGCGACCGCCTGAATTCAGTCGGCGTTGTCCTCATCACCACTCCCTGCCGCCACTCCTACTTCCATCCTCGTCTTCCTCCTCCTCCTCCTCCTCCTCCTCCTCCTCCTCCTCCTCCTCCTCCTCCTCCTTCTCCTCCTCCTCCTCCTCCCCCCCCTCCCCTGCAGGCGGATTTTGAGCGTAATATCAAACAGATTCAATTATTCCGACGGGAAAACCCACGTGAAAATCCTTTTCGGCCAATCTGGAAATGACCTTCTCTCTCGTCCTCGCGATTAATGAGACGCCCTTATTGTCTTTTCTGCGTCATTTTCATACTCGCCCTGGCGCAGGGACCTCACACGCTCCCCACGGTGTCGTCTGCTGTTTGTTTCGTCACCAACCACCTTCTTTCCTGTCTATTGCAAGAACGCGCGTCGATTTTCCCCGACGCCGTCGCCGCCTCGGCCAACGCGGGCGCATTCTCGAATGGCCGCGTCGGCGGCCGTTGGGGCAACCTCGCGGGCCAGGCCGTCGGGGCAACCGCGCGAGCCGCTGGGGCGCGGGAGCAAGCCGTTGGGACAACCCCACAAGCGCCGAGCTAGTCACGGCCGCGCTCAGGCGGGAGGCAGCACGAAGCCAAACTCTGCGGCGAGCTACTCGGCCTCATCCCTGGAGTTGTCCGCTTCCCCATCGAGATTCTCGAGCACCTTGCGCAAGGACGCCGGCGGCCCGCGTTCCAGAGACTCCCGCGCGGTCGGCCGCAGGATCAGCATGTTCCGCACGCGCGTTGCGCGGGAGAGCACGACGTAGAGGCGCGGCCACCACTGGTCGTCCGACATGCCCGCGCGGCCAGCGCCCTCGTCCCTCGCGCAGCCGATGGCGACGCCCTTGCGGAGCGTCTGACCCTGAGACAGCGTGGAGGTGAGGTAGGGCGCGCGAGTCAGGGTGAACCCCGAGCGGCGCACGGCGCGCGGCCCCGAGCTCTGCCACGTGAACTCTTGCTCGCTGGGCCTGAACGTCAGCAAGCTCCGAGCCCGTGCCTCGGCCTGGCCGTCGTCGTCGGCGCCATACGTAGGCGCCCTGTCGCAGCACCTCGGCGACCTCCCGGTAGATCGGAGACACCTTGAAGCCGTGCACATGCAGCCAGATTCCCTGCGGTGGGAAGCGGGGGCAAAAGACCTGGCCTGCCGAGCACTCCTCGTGCCGTTGCTCGTCCTCGCGGTGAAACTCGAAGGACACGATGGTGGCCCGTTGCTCCTGCACGAGTCCAAACTTCTCCAGCTCTTCCTGCGCTGCCGTGAATCGCACTTCCATGCCGACGTGGGAGGCAAGACGCCGTGGATGTTCCCCGTCTTGTGCATGTTCGGGACGTTCAGGAGGCGCCGACCCGCGTCAGGATCACCCTGAATCGTGCTGCACTCGTCCACGGCCTACAAGAAACGAGGGGCACGTCTAGGCGCCGTGCGTCGCGACGAGCGCGCGTGTTCATCCACCTCGCCGGGGTCTCCCAGTATGTGCCCATGCCGTAGCCGAGTCGAAAATCCCACCAGCCCTTTGGGCGTGAGTGGTCTAGAG